CAACAAGAAAAAGAAATTCATGACAAGTTATGTTATTCAAATTAAATAGGACAAAGATTTTTATAACGCCACGCATTAACGAATCACAATACTTAATCATTGTAATTTTTGTGTTGATAATAATATTTAAGTTCTATTATATACTTTAAAAATTTATGAGTACTGATGATGACTTAATAATAATAAATATGAGGTTAAAACATCTATTGTTTTATGTACACAAAAATTGTTTAATGCACGTACATCCTGCAAATTGGCATTTATGCATTTGTATTAACTATATTTTTATAATTCTTGGCCAAAGGATAAAAAATATTGCGGACTATCCATTTAATTAAATCTATACATAAGATCACAAAATTTTGAATGGTTTTAATAAATTGCTTAGTGTAGAATTTTAATACAAGCCAGATTTTTATTAATGCATGCTAAGTATTCTTGCAGTTAGCAAAGCTATTGTAAACTGTAATGTAAACTGTATTGTAAATGATTCATAAACTATGCTAGCGAGAAAGAAAGATTGAGATTGAAGCAATAATACTTCTTTCTATAGAAACAAAAGAAGAAATTGCAAGACTGAAATAACATTGTTTTTATCTTTCTCTTTCACTTGTCACGTGGATTATGAATCGTCTATAGAACACAAGATCATTATAAATTCATTACAAACTTTTTTCTTCGCAAGATATTGAGTAATGAGTTTCATATGTTTTTCGAATTTTATGTCGCCACTCCTATCTAAAAAAATATAATAATGTAAGAATTCTAAATTTCGTAAAAAATTAATTTTAAATACTGTCGACAAAATAAAATCATCATTATTAGCCAACATAATGCCATCAAATTACACGTTCAAAGATCGGTCAAGAATATATTTTAGAAAGTTATAATATTTATTATACAATTCAATCTTGTTAGATAAATTTGATTAATCAGATAATATGCAATTTGAGTAATTCAAATTTAATTCGCAATAAAATACTATCACAATACGATGACAAAATAATGTTTAGTTAGAAATAGAAAATGTTAAATGATAAAATAACAGAAAAGTTCTTTCTTTCTTTATACATATATGTGTGTGTGGGGGGGAGGGGGGGTAGGTGTGTATACAGGGATTGCTCCATATAATGAATAATTTAGGTTCGCGAAGGCT